CCTCAATAATATTATTGACGATTAATTCTCTAAAGGAACTACATTAGTACAATATTATGACTCATCTTTTCCCCAAAAGAAATGCTAAATACATACTATGCAGAAGAAAACACTCAAAAATAGTTGTTATTCAAAATATATTATAAAATATCTCTACTTCATTGCGTAGCTTTATACTAGCCTTCTCCCCAAGCAACTGTTTTTTCCTTTCTTCGGGATTCCTTTGTAATGGTTATCTTGACCGCAAAGGWCAAGTAACTAGAAAGGAAAAAGAAGAATCTTCTGGCTTCAAGAAATAGACAGGAACCCCGTGACTCTCAGTCATGTGACGGCTGTGGAGGAGGCTAGTTTCATACTACGTTCTGTGTAAGAGTAGTAGTTAGTATCAAATTATGAACTTTTTCATGGAAAGGTACAATTCAACCTGCGGATTTACAATAAGATCCTACCCCCATTGAGGTGCTACCTCAGTATGGAAAGTGATTAGTGATTGAAAATAGCCCCTAAACCAGAGGTTCAACTCGATAATACATCACATGACCCACCCCTACCCCCAAAGGCAAACTYGCATGACTCAGCCCTTCYCTAGTGTTCAATTGGCAAATATGTCACCCATTGGGAGCCAAATGTTCTTGCACTCAGTKGCATGATAYAGGAATTCCTCCCCCTGACCCTGATCTTTGTCCAGCCAATTCCTGGCCAAACCATAGTTYACCAGGGTACGCTTGACATTAACCGCTGAGGCATGTTCAACAAATTTGCTGCCCTCTGGAGTGCCGAAGTACCACATGGATTGGACATCTTGGTGTTCTGTAAGGTATTTGGTAAGGTGATCACGGTTACCAGTGACGATRTTGACGACTCCTGCAGGAAGGTCYGACGTATCAAATACCTGAATTTCATAAAATGAGAAAATGGTCTTAACATTGTATATGAAGCTGTACTCCTAAGAAACTACATATTGTAAGAACTGCAACATGCTGCAAGCTGGGTCTATAAAGATATCATTCTAGTATTGTCATAAGCCTAATACCGTATTTACCCATGTATAAGCCGCTCTCGTAGATAAGCCGCACCCCGAGTTTTAGGAACGTTTTTGAGGGAAAAAAAGACGGAAAATAAACTTTTCTCTTTTTGATCGCCACTTGCGAACACAGCTTTCTTTGGAAAAACGATTTTTTTGGAAAAAAGTGCGGCTTATACATGGGTAAATACGGTATCTAAGAAGAAACCTGATACATATCTAAGGCAAATAGTGGATATATGATCTTTATTGAGAATATAAGGCAACTAGTGGATATATGATCTTTATTAGGAAATACCTGGTACATATCCAATGCAACAAGTGGATATTTCTCACTGGGTACCACAATGACAGTGTTTCCCCTTATAACAGCTGGAGCAAGCAGTGATACAAATGCCAGTAATGGTGACTCATCTGGACATGCAATGCCAATTACTCCAACAGGCTCATGGATTTTAACTGTGGCTCCATAGAATGGTGTTTCCTGGAAAAGAAAACAACATTTTACAGTGAGCTCATCAGGACATATGACTATTTTTCCAAACAATGGTTTTTTGAAGACATAATAAGAGAAGTACCTCTAACATTTCATTATTATTTCGAATTTTTTTCATCATCATCATCACCACAACAACAACCATCAGTACCACCATTATATCATCATCATCATCATCATCATCATCATCAACATCATCATCATCATCATCATCATCAACATCATCATCATCATCATCATCATCATCATCATCAACATCATCATCATCATCATCATTATCAACATCATCATCATCAACATCATCATCATCAACATCAACATCATCATCAACATCATCATCATCATCATCATCATCATCAACATCATCATCAACATCATCATCATCATCATCATCAACATCATCATCATCAACATCATCATCATCATCATCATCAAGTCAATCATTACCTGTACTGTTCCACCATATTTATCAGCATATGCTCCATAATGAAACAATCTCTCAATGGTGGCATCCACCTCGGCTTTGGATTCATCAAGAGAACATCCTGTCATATCTGTTAATCGCTGTGCTATCTCATTATGTCTCATCTCCAGGTTTTCAGCCATGTAGTATACTATCTGTGCTCTATTATGTGCAGCTCTCTTACCCCATCTACAACAAATTAGAAATATCCACTTCAGGAAAGGTTGTAGGGAGAATCAATCAATCAGCCAATCAATCAATCAATCAATCAATCAATCAATTAATCAATCAATCAATCAATCAATCCCCAATCAATCAATCAATCAATTACTAATCAATCAATCAATTAACAAACTATCGATCACCTTCTTCACCTTACAAAGCAAAACTTCCATTTCAAGAAAGGTTGTAAAGAGAATCAATCAATCAACCAATCAATCAATCAATCAATCAATCAATCAATCAATCAATCAACCAACCAATCAACCAACCAACCAACCAACCAATCAATCAATCATCATTCAGTAATAATCAATCAACCTATCAATTAGCCACTTGTTCATTAATAATCTTTATGCATTTCACCCATTCTAATATTTCATTCATTCATTTACCCTGGAGCAGCTTTATGYGCAGCTTCCACAGCATCCCTGATGTCCTTTCTATTCCCATCAGCAACCTGTGCTATAACCTCCCCTGAGGTRTTAACTATYGGGTTAGAGTAGTTTCCATCAGGTCTTTTCTGGGCTCCTCCAATGTACATCTTGTAGGTATGATCAATACTGAGAAATACGAAGTCCAGTTAGTAAATAATTAACCTTATATTCCTATATTACAAAAAAATACAGTTCTARTTGTTGTTTCAATGGAGAGTCCGATCTCACTCCTACTTAAATTAGGCCAAAAATGATAAAGGGAAAAAAGAAAGCATCCTTATAAAATATAATTAATCAATATCCATGCTTTTTACTCRGATGCACTATCAAACACTCAGAGATAAGGTGCATGAAGATAATCACCAATACATCAGGAAATGAAAAAAAACAACAACTCATACCTTGGTTTCTTGCCAACATCACTAACTTTCACAGGATTTTCATTGGGATTTTTAACTGATGCTGGCACCATAGCTCCAAACGTCTTGACATCAAAGTCACTTACATCAGGATGTGGTCTGTCTTGCCAAGAAGGTGAGACATATTCATACAAACCCTTGTAAAGAAAGCAAACAATTTTAAAAAGCCAAAATTTAAAACGTCATAGGAAAACAGGCATCCTAGAATCAAATGGATGAAATTGCAAATATGTAAATAACATAACATTATTTTTTTAGCTTTCTTTTCTTTTTGGAAAGGTCTGTTATCAATTAAAACAAACAATGAAGTTGAAGTCTATTGTGAACTTCAATAATGTAATCCTTTAGAATTACAGTATGAATGCTACATGAGTCAAACTTGCACTATGTTATTCTACATCATCTCTCACCTCTTTGCCTCCATCACGTCCATACCCACTTTCCCTGTATCCACCAAATCCAGCTGCAGCATCAAAGAGATTGTGTCCATTAACCCACACAGCACCAGCCTTAAGACTGATGGCTACTTCAAGACATAAAGACAGATTTTCACTCCAAACACTGGCACCAAGGCCATAGTTAGTGTTGTTTGCWATTGCGATGGCTTCTTTGGGWGTTCTGAARGTCAGGACAGCAAGAACAGGGCCAAAAACCTATGGAGAATATTCTAGGATTAGTGAAAGCTCAGTTTTGAAGTGTAAACTATGTGAATTACATTGTATCTGTTTGTCTGAGAAGCTTATTATTCTTACCTCTTCAATAACAATCTTTGAGACAGGTTGAACATTGGTAATCAGTGTTGGTGGATAGAAACATCCACTGGAAGGCTTGTAGGCATAATTTTGATAGACCTAGTGAAGAACACAGTTGAAAAGAGAGCTATAGACATTCATTGTATTTATTGGACTACTACTACTACTACACACTTCATTTTGAGAGACAGATTTTTTTGCTCTGTTTTAATATCTTTTTTAATGTGATCTTTTGAAATCAAGTTAAATTTAGTAAGTATAAAAGCCGTATTAAACAGCACAACTTTTACCTAAAACTATTGCATGCAACCTGCGTAAGTCATCCTTCCAACATAGCTACAATTGTTGTAGGGATTTGAAATATTGCTTACTATCCCTATGACAGATGTAGCCATGTTATAAGAATGACTTAGACAGATTGCATATGATGGTTGTTGTCAAAAGTTGTGCCGCCTAATTCCGCCTTAAAATAAATTAATTACCTCAGCTCCTTCAGCTTGAGCTTCTTCAACATACTTTGCTACTGATTTCAGATGCTGTGGGTCAACTAAGGTTCCCATGTCAACACACTTGTCAAGCGAATCTCCAAGACGAAGGTGCGACATGCGCTCCTTTAGTTTGAGTATCATTTGAGATGCACATGTTTCTTGCACAATTAACCTTGAACCAGCACTGCAGACCTGGTGCACAAAAAATACCAAAATATATTCCGAGAACCGAATACAGTATATGATCACTAACAACAACTAGCAAATTCAAGACTAAATTCTTGCATATATTAATTTTTAGTTTGTTAAGAATGTTTTTATCAAGTGTGCCATTGCAGAGCAAAATATTAATTCATTGCTGAAAAGATATTAACTGTGACATTAAGAACAAAAGGGAAAAAGACCAAAAGTAGCCATTCAAGTACTGGGTTTTCATTTCTCTATCTCCACAAAGGTCCTGCACAAGCCTGTAAGAAAGGATGCAAAACTTTATTGAAAAAGTAGTATACCTGTCCCTGATTAAACCATATTGCATCCACCACACCCTCAACTGCACTGTCCAGGTCAGCAGTGTCAAAAACAACAAAAGGAGACTTCCCTCCAAGCTCAAGGGAAAGTTTCTTTCCTGTTCCTGCTGTCACTTGACGGAGCACTTTGCCAACCTGGAAAAAAACAGTTTTGTTTAAAACCCAGTAAAAGTGAGTTAAGATGATTCATTACCATTGAGTAAGAATATAAAGCTACAAACTTTAAAATAGAATATTCCAGGCAGAAAAAGTACTGGCAYACTTTACCTCTGTTGACCCAGTAAATGCAACTTTGTCCACATCAGGGTGGGTGGCRAGACTGCTACCAAAGGCACCATTACCAGTYACAACATTGAAGACACCTGGAGGCAGCCCAGCCTCAGCACAAATCTCAGCAAAAAGAAGAGCAGAGAGACGRGTGTAGGTGGCTGGCTTTAGAACAACAGTATTACCCATGGCAATGGCTGGGCAGACCTTCCAGCAGAGAAGCATTAGGGGGAAGTTCCAAGGTACAATACCTCCAACAACTCCTATTGGCTTCCAACCTAATGGGAAGAGAATACTGTAAGAATAATATTTTCAACTTACAGAGTCTGCAGGATCATTTTGGCCCTTTTATAATCACTTTTTAACCACAAATAAAAGCTGCTAACTTTAATAATCAACAGGCTTCATGCTACTCCTTAAAACTCGTTTTCAAGGGCGCTTGAAAGCCCTTGAAAATTGGGAAAATCACTGTTAAAACTCCTGGAAAACTCCTTGAATCTGATAAAATTGACATGTTGATTGTTAGCTTTTGGATTAAAATGTGGCTATTTAAAAAAATCACCACTTGAAACATCCSCAAACATCTAAAAATATCTTCAAAAATACTCCTTGAAAATCGCATTTTTATGCTTAAAAAGTACTTGAAAAGTCCTGGAATTTTGTAGTAAAAATGTTGCACAAACCCTGACTCAAGGTTTGACTCTAAATCCTAGAACAATATTTGTGCAATAATGAGTCTTCATAGTAACCTGATTATTCTAATAATAATAATTTTAATAATAGTTTTATTAATACTAAAAGTGTAACTTGTAAGATCTTTTCTCTCACCTCTCATTTCTGTCTCCATAAGCTGAGCCCATCCTGCATAATGRTACAGGTGYCGAGCGACATTAGGGATATCACAATCACGAGTCTCTCTTATYGGCTTGCCATTGTCCATACTCTCTAGGACGGCAATCAACCTTGCATGTTTCTGCACATGGCGTGCAATACTGTAGATATGACGTGCACGCACATGACCTGAAGTCTTGCTCCATGATTGGAATGCTTCTTTTGCTGCTGCAACTGCTTGYTCAATRTCTTTTTGTTCACCTTGAGTTGTTGATGCAAGAACTTCACCTTGAATGGATATCAAAATACAAATAAAAATATGAACAGAATAGTTCACGATTATTCTGATGTCTTTAATCAACTTTATATCAAAAATAAATAATAAATATATAAATAATAATGGGAATATATAAATTGTTATACAACTTCAAAGAAAGTACTTGTGGTATAGAACGAAATAGAGAATTTGATAGGAACCACCCCTGCCCCTCCCCCCTTCACTATAACATTATAAATTGGTTGCTAATTTTTTTTTTCGAAATTCGTCAATCATGTCGTGTAAGCTTGAAATATAACATATCAAAACTATTATATTTGATTGTTTAAAATAATTTGAGTTTTCTTCTTTGCAATAATGGACAATTTTCCAATTTTGTAAGACTAAACTGTTGACTGCAAATGCAAAATAAAAGTACAGTAAAGTGCAACCAATCGTGGATAAAACACACAAATATTTCACCTGTAGCTGGATTTTTGGATTCATAAGTCTTTCTTCCTTTGGGTTTTACCCATTTGCCGTTRATAAAATGACCAAACGASCGTCCATGTTTATCTAACCAAGCATTCACACCACTTGGAGCTTCTGGAGCTGGWCCATACTCCAAACTTTGGAAGATCTCWGAAATMACTGGATCTTTGTTCAATCGCGTTCGTTTGGGAACAGGTCCTTCTGCAGATCCGTTAGTGACAGTGACAACTTTCGTTTTAGAAGACATTTTCACGTGATAAACACAGCTTAATTAACTYCACAGRATAACCTTCACTGCAATGGCCTCGTGGCACACATACAGGACAAAAAATACCTTACCCTACCCYWGCTTAGTAGAAACTGGCACAGGAATCCCACAACTCAATCCTTTCTCTATCATCTCATTATGATTGTTGCGTCAAAAATACAGTGGAATTTTGAATATGCTTAAAAATACGTACATTATAGTATTGTTTATAATTAGTTTACAGTCTGGGATAAATGAAGGTAAGTTAAAAAAACAGCTACAAATATAAACTAATTTTCATCAGTGCTATGCGGAGATCTTTTTGGGTTGTACAATTTATCGTTTTATCGCAGCAAAAAAAAAAAATAAAAAAATAAAAAATAAAGAAGCTAGATCTAGCTATTTTCACATAATCGTATGAGGGAGTAGCTGATTCCTCTACATATAGTGTAGAGCTAGTTATATATAATATCATATACTATCAAAGAGGCAAGATTCTGAAGAAAAATCTTGCCTCTTTGATATTATATATATTTTCACATATATTTTTCCATGTTTTTGTTTCGTTTTTGTATCACTCTTGTTGTATCAAACATTTCCCCTGATTCAATTGCAATTTTTTTTGAACTCGGTTACACCTGATATAACACTCTCCCCGATATTCTGCTTGTTTTTGTTGTTGTTGTTGCTGTTGTTGTTGTTGTTTGCTGTTTCTTTTTTAGAACTGATGTGCCTTTGATTAAATTATCTTATTCCAACATATAGATATGATAATCATTAAGTGAATAATATCAAATTTTATTATTGTCCATTCTTAGCCAAGCTGGCCGCAATGCCCAAGGTCCACGCAACCTCGGCATGCCTTGGTGACACAGTCAATTTGGAAATAGAGGTTGCCCAATCAGAAGGCACGGTTTCAGTCACGTGGAGACATGGAGCGGATTTGTTATATCAGGACGAGCATTACGTCAAGA